GTATTTGTATTTGTATTTGTATTTGTATTTGTATTTGTATTTATATTTATATTTATATTTATATTTATATTTATATTTATATTTATATTTATATTTATATTTATATTTATATTTATATTTATATTTATATTTATATTTATATTTATATTTATATTTATATTTATATTTATATTCATATTCATATTTATATTCATATTTATATTTATATTTATATTTATATTCATATTCATATTCATATTCATATTCATATTCATATTCATATTCATATTCATATTCATATTCATATTCATATTGATATTCATATTGATATTGATATTTATATTTATATTTATATTTATATTTATATTTATATTTATATTTATATTTATATTTATATTTATATTTATATTTATATTTATATTTATATTTATATTTATATTTATATTTATATTTATATTTATATTTATATTTATATTTATATTTATATTTATATTTATATTTATATTTATATTTTACGTTAAAACATTTATTTTATGGTAATTTTTAGATTTTTCAGTCATTATTCTAAAAGTCATTAGTCTAGTTGAGTTGCCAAACAAGTTCATTTAATTTAACTAGCTTTTCAATTTCAACAACTTCTATTTAACTTCAAGACTATAGTATCTAAAATAGACAATATATTCCCGTTTCAGCACTCTTACAAACTTAACCTTATTATGTTATTAAATAAACAAACAAGCTATAATAAGCTAAATAGAGATTGTGTTTTTAAGTGGACACTAATATTATATACATTTTTTTGTATTGTATCATTTTCACGTACACTTAATATGTTAAATAAAAAATTCTAATAATTTTTTATTTTAGAAGAGTCAAAATGAACCTTGAATGAAATATTACAGATCTGTTTTTGATAAAGTAAAAAATGTAATGGCAGTACTTTGGTGAAAGTAAATAAAGCGAGTTAAGAAAGATATTTTTGACCAACCTTTTTTCAACTTTATATTTGATATGTACGCATTATAAAGGAACATAATGAGTAAACACTCACTTTAAGGTATAAAAAGCATTGCATTTAAAATTTGATATTAGTCTTCATTTTTAATTGTGTGACATAATGGGTATATGTTCAAATGATATGTAAAGCTAGTAAAGAAGAATTCTCGAAACAGAAACAACATCGGAGTATTTTCAAAATAACTACTTCGTATTATGTTTAAAGTCGAGTGATGTCATAACATGTTAGTCCTATTATGAAATTCACAGGCATTTTTATTCATATTTAGGCCACTTTCTTGTAAAATAGTCATTATAAAAATGTTTCCCTTGTTTTTACTGTTATTATTGAAGTGTTTTTCCAAATATTTGGAATATAATAAGTTTTGAATAGTGATACAAATGTATAAAATAGGAGTAAGTGGACAAATATAAGAAAGTGAAGATAAAAGGAGGAAAAGGGGAGAAAAGTCAATAAAATCACTAAAGAAGAAAGATTTTATATATAAATAAACAGAACTTAATGCTAAAAGAGAATATATGAACAAAAACAAGACTAGTTTAAAAAGTTCCAAAGAAGGGAAGAGACCACTTTTATACCCTTAAACCTAACGTGATTGGTAGTGACCAACTCCTAGCGATCCTCATCCACTAAAAACCAACTGACATTGACCTTGACAACGAGTGACTCGTCACCATAGTGATCTCCGATGGTCTCAATGACCCAACATTCTTGTGTTAGTTACATGCACTTATCGAGGTTGTCATTCTAGCGCCCAAATGATCTTAGCCATTCTTGCCCTGACAACTAGTTGACCTTGCACTAGTAATTGAAACTCTAAAACAAATAATAAAATAATGGAGCAAAAAACAAAGGAAAATTATCATTGACCTCCCTTAAGGTTCGGTGTATTATCTCACTATCAAAATATACTCTTACTTCCTCAGTATCTCTTAATGTAGATAAATAATTTCTAATTACATTTAAAGAAAATTGATGGACTATAAGTCTAGAGAGAAGTGAGATCTAGAGAGAGAGGTGCTATAGATGCTGATATTAATGATTTGTGTCAACCCTTACAACTACTTCCAAAGGGAGTATTTATAGGAAAAACTAGGGCTGGGCCTCCCAAGTCTTGGGCCTGGGAGACCCATTTACAATAGGGCCACTAATGGCTCGGATACAAAGTGTATAGAAAAGATTAAGTGTAAATCCTGTTCTGGAGGCTGTCTATGGCCGACGAGGGCATGGTCGACGAAGACCCGGCCGACGAGGTCACCCGACTCTTCCTGGCTTCTGGATCACATTCTGAGTAGACTTCTTTCTGGCCGATGAGGGTCATCTAGCCGACGAGGGTCCCACCAGGTGGTCGTGGTACCTTCTGTTCTTCCGAGTATGTGGGCCCTGGGGTCCAGGCCCATATACTCCATAAAAAATTATGCTTGGTCTTGTAACATTACTCACTTACCGAAATGGTCTAATGACTAATATATTTTTTGATATACAATTAACATTCTAAAAGTATAAATTAACATTAAATAGGATTGCAGTATAGCTAAACATTTTGAATATTATTTTATATCTAGAACATACGTCGTATATTCATTAATGATTTAAAGAGATTACGAGATTTTAAAATGTATATGCAATACTTACTTCCGTGTTTCACATTAGGGATGAACAAGGGTCTCGGGACCCCCAATTCATTAATGTATTGACTGATTTTGCTGATTTAAGGGAAAAAATTATAATTAAAATATATTTTATTAATGAAATAGAGAACAAATTACTTGAAAAGTAATTTGTTATTATTACACAATTAAGCGTGTGAAATCAAAAGTTACGTGTTTAATAAAAAAGTTGACTAATAAGCCCGATAAGCCAAAAAACAAGGTCACCAAATGGACTCTAAGTCTAAGCGTCTTAGCATGTTGTTAGTTTATAAAGGAAAAATATATTTTTTAATATATATCAGTACCTGAAAGCTTGCCATTAAAAGAATATGGACACCATGCTAAGACATACTAATAAACATTCTCTAAGCTAAGTAAAACACCCACATAACTTTATGTTTCAAAATTACAAATTATAACGTTTTTTAGAAATAAACAAAAAAGTTCGGAATTATTAATAACCAGTAATATGAAAAGTAGAAACTGTTAATATCCACTTATATTATTTGTGCTATATTAAAAAAAATAAAAAAGTTCTCAGGCTCGAATAGATTCCACTAAATTTCGAATCCGGCCAGTTGAAGTTATATTCATTATTTTCAAAAATTAGTGTTTTCTTCATATGACACTTGAGAGATTTGCTCAGATAAGTGATTTTATGTGACACTTTGTTTAAACTAAAATAGTACATTATCAAAGTCGTGAGTTCTAACGTAGAACAAACTATGGTCCTAAGTTCATATTTAAACAACTTGAATATTTCTTAAACTCTCGCCCTATATATTTTATTTCCTTTGCATATACTACATGAGTAAAAAAAAAATACTACCTCAGTTCCCCTAAGTTTGAGACAAAGGGGTGTGATGTGATTTTTAAGAAAAAGTGGAATTGTGTGATTGATATTGAATTGATAAAGTGTGAATAAAGTAAGAATGAATTCTAACCACTCAAATATTACCAACTATAGTATGAGATAAACTTAATAGGACGGATGAGAAAGATAAAACGGGACAAAGTTGGAAGGACGGAGGGAATGAGGGAGTACAACTATACATTTGTTTTGTATAAAGTACATTGGGCATAATCCCATTCGCGCATAGCGCGTTACAAAAACTAGTTGACATATACGCATGTTCTTATTTTTCCAAACAAGTTACTATTATATGTGTAATAGTGATCACGATTATGGTGACACCAAATAATGTTTGAAAGTGAAAATTATGGATGTTTGTCGGTTCGATTTTTACGATTAATCTTAAAAATGGTGAAACCAAAAAGCTAACTATACTACTTGAGTCAATTTCGGTTAACTTGTTTCAATTATGTTCAATTTTAGCATTTCGTTCGACTTTTGTGAAATTCAAAGGCATAATCTAACCATCTAGGGTGATGTCAGTTTTGGCCATTTTATATTTCATTCAGTTCAATTTTCTATGAAATGGTCCTTAACACAATCTCCATCCCATTAACATTGAGACATGAGGAGGTGATGCAGTTGTTAAGGAAAACGATTTTATGTGGTTGATATTGAATTGATAGAGTATGAATGAAGTAAGAATAATTTAGAACAACACAAATTTATCAAGTTTGATATGTGACAATCATAGTAGGACGAATCGAAAAGAAAAGACGAGACAATTTTAAAAAATTGATTAATTACTCGACTAAAAATGCAATTGAATAGAATTATTATAGTATTAAAGGCGAACAAAATCGAAAGATACAAACATAAATCTATATTTTTTTAAAAGTAAACTAGAAGTTATTTAATCCTCGTCAAAGGATATGTAGATGATAAATATTAGGGAGTAATATTATTGAGTCAAATCAATATTAACATAAATATTAATATTAGTATGAAGTGGCAATACATCAATATCAATATGTAAGTCAGTTTTGAGAAGCTGATTCACCCAAACATTACAATACGTGTGCTTCTGCTTCAAAGAAACACCAATTTTCAAAAGTAGATCAAAGAGCCTCAATTTTAATCTCCCAAAATAAAATAAAAATTAAAAATAGTTACGAAAACGTAAAATAATACCGAGTACTACGTATTTGTTTTTGGGAAAGTTCTCGAAATAGGACTAAAACAGTTTTAAAATTCCAAAATAGGACTGTCATATTTTTTATTCCCAAAATAGGACTAATTATTGACATGTTTAGAAAATATTGTCATGTTTGAAGTTTGTTACTGTCAAAACATGATAGTAATTAGTTATATTTTGGAAATAAAAACATGGCAGTCCTATTTTGAGAATAAAAACACGACAGTCCTATTTTAAAATTTTAAAACTATTTTAGCGATAATATCTCTTGTTTTATTTTTTAAATTAGATCTAAACGCCAGCGCACTGTAGGCTGCTCTGTGGCAGTTTCTTTTTCTTTCCTGCAGCTTCGCGGCAACTTCCTCCCCATTTCTGAGAAATTGCCGAGACCCGCTCTCCTTCTCTCTTCCATCGCCGACCCGACACGACAATTAAACAGCGTCCCTGCCCCTCTGTCTTACTCTCGAAGTACATTCCTGAAACTAAATCACTAGATCCTTTATGTTGACGCGCTTAATGTACACATCCGCTGTTCTTATACGTTTACTCAACCTCTGATGCCGATACTGTACGTGATGTGCACGTTGTTTAATGCGTAGGTTTTAGTCGGTTTGCCTCCTCCTTGGACATACCATATGAACTCGCTATGTCTCTAGAAGATTGATTAGAAGCTTTCCTCTTGGTGCTGCTATTGTGTTCCGTCTTATACTTTCTGGATTTTGTAGGTGAATTGCGTTCCTGTGAAGTTTGAAAAGATCTATAAAGTATTGTAGAAGGAATACTTGGAATCAATTTAGCGGTTTCTCCTGCGGCAGTGCATAAGAGAAGATGAGTAGCGGCCGGGATGAGGGTAAAGGATCGCCTTATCGGCGATATAAGAATGAAGATTTGGAGTCCAGACAACCCCACAGGGGGTATTCTGACGAGGATGAGGAGAATTGTGACCCTTTTGATATTTTCCGCACCAAGAGTGCTCCTGTTGACCGTTTGAAACGATGGAGGGTCAGTTATCTGATTTGTCTTTCTATGCGTATGTCTGATGTTGCAACGAAATCGTATGTTTGAGTGTATGCTGTTTACATTTCCGCAATTTGTATCTTTATTCCTTGTGAAAATGTACATAGATGACCTTGCCACACAGTCAATTGTTTGTTCTAGATTCGGAAATGGTTGCATCATAGTATTCAGTTCCGTTTCTATTTAATTTTAATCCCACTTTCTCTTTGAAAACAGTTCAACGTAGTAGACTATATGACATGGTGTATACAATTTGGCCTTGATATTATTTCTCCTGTACATGTATAAGTTCTGACCAAGTTATGTTGCTTCTTTCCAGCAAGCAGCACTTGTCTTGAATGCTTCTCGCAGATTTCGATATACTTTGGACTTGAAGAAAGAAGAAGAAAGAAAACAATTGATAGCTAAAATTAGAACACATGCACAAGTCATACGTGTAAGTTTTTTGTGAATAATATGAATGGCCTTTATCTTTTTGCATTTTACTGGATAGAATCATCTAAAAAATATATCCGTCAATAGCTGAGTTCAGGACATATGCCCAAGTCAAACAGGTGATTTTCTGGTGTCCTTACCCGAACATTATTTTTATATTTTGTTTGCCAGGCAGCTGTGCTTTTTCAAGAAGCAGGGCGAGCTGTTAAAGGTATATGCCCTTTTTTTGAAGTATAATAGCTTACTATAATAAATTACACCCTTTTTGGGTATGCCAAGCAGCAGTGGCGGACCCAGAATTTTTCTAAAGCGGGGCACATGGGAATGGCTTGGGTTGGGTGCATCACTGGTCCATGAGCGGATCTAGGGGAGGGCCAACGTAGTCCCTAGCTCACGCCATATTTAAAAAATGTTTTTTAATTTTTAAGGTGAACAATTCCATGTAAAAGTGTTTTCAAAAATATTCTTTGCACCGCCCTAGTCCGGCCCAGTACCCTTGATCTGCCCCTGAATTGGTTTATTCTGTCTAGTCTTTTTAGATTATTATTTTAACTAGAAATAGATTATTCTATGTCAGTTTGAGAACATATATAGATTACAGGTCTTGTTTTGAACCCATTAAGACCATTGTATCAAAATACTACCTTGTTAAAAAATGAAGTACTACATATAGTTTGATTTTGTTATTTCATCATTCAATACAATTTTATCTAATAACATGATTTTATATATCTAACTTTTATCATATTGCAATACAAAAAATCAAAAGGTATGTCGTTCCAGCACGTATTGAAAAAAAGTTTCATGTATATTTTATTTCAAGAACATATCAACCACATGTCTAATAGCATGGAATTGATCCCTCACACCTTGTTTGTCATTTGCATTTTCACTACAATATATATGCTCTTCGGTGAACTTATCCTTATATCTATTTTTTTTGCCCGTGAAGCGGGGGCACGATATTTATCTTAAGTACTAATACTAAATTTCGGGGTCGGAAGTAGGGGCACTTGCCCCCTAGGACCCCCCCAGCTCCTCCACTGCCAAGCAGTTCGCATGACATCCCCATTGTTATTCTTATTAAGACGCTACCTAGCCTGTATTAGCTTACAATTTTTTCTTCTTAGGACCTGGAACTCCTAAAGACCAGCCAGCTGCTCCACGACCAGATAGTGAATTTGGCATCAGTACAGAGGAGTTGGCATCAATATCGAAAGAGCACAATCTACCAGCTTTACAGCAACATGGAGGGGCAAGTTCTCTGTCATAAACTTAAGTTTGTACATCTCCTCATGATAATATTCTTATCAGGCTTGATCATTTCATGTCTCCCCCCCCTCTTTGCGGATGTTTCCACATCAGGTTAGTGGGGTGGCAAAAAAGTTAAAAACAGATCCGGAAAAGGGAATACTTGGCAATGAAGTGGATTTATTGAAGCGAAGCAGTGAATTTGGATCTAATACTTATCCACAAAAGAAGGGACGGAGTTTCTGGGTATATATTGTGCTAATTTCAGAATGGATAATTGTATCTATTCTCCATCCTATGATGTCAATGCCAACTACATTTTTTTTAAATTTATTCATTATAATTATTATAGAGGTTTCTTTGGGAAGCTTGTCAAGATACAACCTTGATAATTTTGATGGTAGCTGCAGCTGCATCTTTGGCTCTAGGGATTAAAACTGAGGTAAATTTAATTGGTTTGAGTATCATTTTATCGATCAAGTTTAAGATTTTTTTCTCCAAAATATACGTGAACAGTCTGTTGAGTTTCAGCGTCTACATTACATTTTCATTATGATTTTATCTTGTATTTAAGGGTATTAAAGAAGGATGGTATGATGGAGGGAGTATTGCATTAGCAGTAATCATTGTCATCGTTGTTACAGGTGAAATATTTCTCTATAGTTATGCTCCCCATGCTAATATAGTAATGTATATCTTCCTATCAAGAAAATCATTTGTAGTCTAAATATGGTTTTACTTTCATCAATAGAAAGATACTATTCTGTACTTTTTTTCTAAGCTTAATTAGATATGACTTTATTTCCATAGGCTCTGTCACATATATGTTTGCCATATTAGAACTATGCTCGTAACCACATCTCAATATCTCATCATTTAGTGAATGCCTCAAGTCCATGACTAAACATTCTTTTCCACTACTAATATTGAAAGAAATAAATAACTTATATTTAGTACATAATATTGTATTTTAATATTGTTAACCGTTACATATATTCCTCATTTATGAGAGCATTATTTCTTACCATGTAGACATAGCTACTCTTTGTATAAATTGCAGCTCTTGGAATGGAATTCAGTGTGCAAAATAATATTCAAACACTTCCTTATTCCTTATTCTTTATGGTATCAGCCCACCTCCCCTCCCCAATGACAACCGGCGATGACAGCAGTCAGCCGGAGACCCTTCTTCAGCCGGGTGACCAAGGCAATGTTCCTTCCGGTCATATTACTACACAAACCGTCTCAGTAACCGCACCCCTCACCCCAGATGGACTGATTATTCTCAATCCCAGTCACTTTCGAGAAAAATTAGATGGTTCGAATTACCTGGTTTGGCGCGACCAAATTCTCTATCCTCTTCGGCTCTCATCTTGATCAATATGTCACTGATGGTGCTTCCCCGCCACCAAATAAATATGTCGACGGCCATCTCCGGTGGACCAGGCAGGACCGGCTCATCCAACACGCCCTTATTGCGTCTCTGAGTTCAGCGTGTAAACCCCTTGTCGGATCTGCCCGTACATCTGCAGCAGTTTGGAAAGCCCTAGAGCAATTCTACGGGACCCGTTCAGCCTCCCAAATCCGCAATATGAAGGATGTCTTTCACCATACTTGACAGGGATCTAAGCCGGTGGGAGAGTACCCCCATCATCTCCGCACCCTCGCTGACGAACTTCTCTGTAGATGACGAGGACTTCGTCTTTCAAGCTTTGGAGGGACTCCGCCTTGAGTTTGAATCCTTCACGAACTCGATTCGCACCTGTGGAGACAACAGCTTCGGCAACATCTACGCCTTGCTCACCGGGTTCGAAGCTACTCTACGGCTGAAGGAGGCTTTGGATACGTCGGTTGGCGTGGTGACCGCGAACACTGCTGCGATGGGGGAACCGGTCGCACTCGCAACTTGCAGAACTCCAGCGACTAGTAATAATAATACTCCATCTTTATTGGGCCCTGGCTCGTCTACTTATCAGCCCAGCCGCACAAACAACTCAGCCCGGGGTTCTACTGGGAGTCAGCCCAGAAACCAGCGGCCCAATGTCCCTCAAAATCCTAACCGACGTGGTCAGAATACTTTTCGGGGTACCACCAACAATATGACAACCCGCAACACCTCCGGGAATAGTAATTCCAATTTCGGAGCGAATATTATGTGTCAAATTTGTGGGAAACCAAACCATTCTGCTCTCAATTGTTGGCATCGGTTTGAACATCAGGCTTATCCTCCTCAGGTTGACTATCACTAATCATAATGGATGGTTACTTGATTCTGGAGCAACCAATCATGTCACCAATATCCTGAACAACCTTACCTTGGCATCCGATTATACTGGCACTGACTTTCTCGTTATTGGTAACGGGTAAAGGACTTGCGATAGCACAAGTTGGGCATATGAACCTTCACTCTCCCCCCTTACCTAATACTCTTTTTGCCCCTTCTATTCTTACCAATTTAATTTCTGTTGCCAAATTATGTCGTGATAATGACGTACTAATTGAAATTCATTCTTCATTTTGTCTTATCAAGGACGGGCGAATGGGAGCAATTTTGTTACGGGGTATGAATAATGGAGACGTCTACAACCTGCCTGATGTGCCCCCTCCACCATCTCCCTCTGTTCACATCACACAAAAATACTCTCTAAATAAATGGCATTATCGTTTAGGACATCCTGCCCTCCCTATCACTAAAACAATTCTCTCTTCCTTAGGTATTTCTTTTCCAAATGTTGCAATGAATACTTCCTTATGTGTCTCGTGTGCTACTAATAAAAGCCATAAATTACCGTTTGCAAAATAATCTCTTACGTGTTCGGGGCCGCTAGATTTAATTTATACGGATGTTTGTGATAGAGACCTAGATAGTACTAAAAATAAGAATAATGGTGGTCTTTTAATATTGTAGAATAAAAGGGTTTTAGGCTCTGAATTTAATAGAACTGGGCTGGCCCATATGGAAAGGAATAAATAAGAGTGAGGGGAGTAGAATTGGCAAGTAGAAATTGGGATAGGCTTTGGCTTGGGAGAGGGGACTACTCGAAGTGTCTCACTGTATCTTTCTTTTTCAGTCTATCAATTTCATCTAATATACTTCCGTTTACCGTCAAATTTCTGGGTACGTATCATTGGTATCAGAGCAGTTGTCTGGGAAGCTTCGATCTAAGTCACGCGATAAAAAAATGGAGCAACATAAGGAATATTGAAAGTCAGAACGGGAAGTGATCGCCTCTGGTTTGTACGTGAAAATTGAGAAGAGTGTTTCTACGCGAATATCCGGTAAGGATGCTTCACGCGAAAAGGAGGATAAGGTGGCGGAAAAGGTTGAGCGCGGAAAAGTGGAGAAGCTCGTGAAAAAGGTAGAAAGTGATTGGGTAGAAGGAGATGAGGGTCTGACTGGATGAGATGCGCACCAAGCTGTGGCAACAACGTCGCCGACGAGGACGATTGAGGACCGTGCAACGCTGCCGGTATTTGAAAAGCAAAAGTTCATTGCAGTCGCCATCAACTCTTCCCTGTTCGCAGAAGGTGTCGCACGTAGAAGCTCTTAGCTCGCTATCAGATTCGCTGAGTTCACAGGTTTCATCTATGTCGCAAACCTCTTCTCCCAGTACTCCAGCTTCATCGCAAGCAGATGTTCTCAGTCAGCAGGTTTCCTCGCCAACAACTTCTCCCAGTTCTCAGTTTGAAACGGAGTCTCCCATTTCCTCACGAACTGTTCCTCTCGGTTCGCCGTCACCAGATGAGTCTCAAACGGCTTCTCATGTCAAATTGTCCTCATTCCCTCAGCAATATGTGAGTAGACTGCAACCTCCCTCTGAAGATATGCTCATCTCTGAAAATACTTTCGTTGATGACTTGATGGTAACTATCGAAGCAAGGAGCAATTATTTTTGGTGACTCGAGCCTTGCTGCCAAGGAATATGACTCTGCTGGTAATATAATTGCTGGTCCAAAAACTTTGGAAAGCTCTACGGGGATTGTCCGCATAGCATACTTGTCACGGCGGTAAGTCGAGTCGTGGCGCCAGGCGACAAGGCGCCCGCCTAGGCGACAATTAGGCGACTAGTCACCTATATGTGTATATTATATATTTATAGTATATATTATATATATAATTATATATTTACATATATAATTATATATTTAATTATATATTATGTATAAGATATTACTAACTAAAATGTATACATAACTTTAGAATTGAAATCCACAATTAATAATTAAAACAACCAAGTAATATTGAAAATATTAATTTTTGTAAAAGGAAATAATGTTAAATAATAACATTTTTTCTAAAAATCTGAATATTAAATAGTAAATAATGAACTAATGTCTTATTTCAAAAATAAACAATGACTCACCAAGTAGCAACTCATTAGTCATTATGAGAAATCGAGAAGCTACTGACTTGGTTTTTATGAGTGCAAAAGTTGAGTGCTCCATCAAATAGACTAATTTTTAGATATTGAAATTTTGAAATTATGAGACGAGAAATCGAGAAGAGAGCTGAACGCCTGAACCTGGGAAGTCGTCTGCTTCAGCGAGGGACAAAGCAGAGAGGGCGATCTGCGAGACCTGTTCTTCCCGGAGTTCTGGGAAGTCGTCTGCTTCAATGCTTCGTACTTCGTAAGTTTATTAATTAATGAATAACGAGTAGATTATTTTGGGGCTTTGGAGCCTGGGCTTTATAGTTAATTAGTTTCCAAAAATTAGTTTCCTAAAATCTATTTTATTTCACATTTGGGGATCTGGGCTTGCGATCGACATGGGAAAAAGACGCCGATTTGTCGCCTTCATCGCGCCTTGACGACGCCTTGACGACGCCTGGCGCGCCTTTTCTTCTTCCGGCGAGGCGAGTAACTCCGGCGACCTGTCCCCAGCGCCAGGACACCTAGTCGGCGACTAGGCGACGCCTAGGACGCCTAGGCGACGTTGTGAATAGTATGCCGCATAGATGGCTTTAGCAAAACTGGAGAAAACGCGGAGTATGTGGTGGCTGAAGTTCCGCAGGATCCTACACGAGCTATGGGCTCTTTGATAAGAAGAGTAAGGTATAGAGATGAAGGCAAAAGGGGAATGCATGAACAAACCTCAGCATTGGGCGGGAGAATTGAAAGGAAAGACACCTACCAGTAATGTCAAGGGAGGTACAAACAACCAATTTTTGATTTTGGACTGTTGGTATGATCTTCAGGTTTGGAATATGAAAGAACCTAACGATGGTCACAACTTATTTTCCAAGCATGATGGTCCTGTTTCATTCATGCAAATCTGTATCAAGTTGTTGTGGCAAGATTTCCTGTTTTCTGAGAAGTCAATGGACAAAAACAATGCTTCCATAGAGCCATCTTTTAAACAGCCAAGTATAGTAGAATTTAATAGGAACAGTTCTGCGGGATGTTTGATTGATCTTGGGAATTGTATGGTTATGTATCTGAAAGAGCTTGGGGTTAAAAGGGACTTGACGATAGCTGACAAATATTTTACAGGGGCTGCTAATGGGGACACAAGCATTCTACACTTGTATTTCCTCTATGATGCAATTCAAACAGGAGGCTGATCAGAGGGATACACTACTAAAAGTGTACCTGTTAATGGGGAATGAATATGGCTATGTGTCTATGTTGAAAGATGATGCCAAGAAAAGACAGGTTGTACAATTGCCATATAATGTTTATCTGAATCTTGCCGCCGATGTGGATTTAATGCACAGCCAATTGCAGATGGATGGTTTGCTTCTCTACCCATGTTCATTTGGAAACAGAGTCTTAATTGTTTATGAAAATGGATTACTTAACTTCAGGGACATTACAGAAAATAAATTTGTACTTAACTTCAACAACATTGGCAACCAAATGAAATGTTTTCAGAAAAGTTAGGTGAGTTTGTGTTGAAAATTTTGGACAGCAAGAGCATTAATAAGGTAAATTTGCAGAATTTAGAGGAGGAGTTGGCGTACTGTAGATGAAAGGTTTTCATCTGTTGCCAAGTTTTCCTCTGTGTTCAGCTGGAGAGTTAATGAGCAGGTTGGGTATGTGGTTGTGGAGGTCAGAGGCCAGGATGTGTTTCCTCCGATAAGAGAAGGGGATGGACATGCACTTTCATAGTTTTTAACTATTGCAAACTTGGGAATCACTGGGCCACATATCAAGGACTTAATTGCATCAATCACAAACTTATGTGAGTATACATCTGATGAAACTATGCATCAAGTGCTTGGAATACTATGGGCTGCTGTCAAGGCAGAGGTTTTCATCCAGCCTTTCTGCTTTAAAAGTTTTAGAGGCAATCAAAACGGCTCCTGATTTCATCCAGCTTTTAGTTCCTCAAATTTTACTTTATAATGGACAAATGTTGACATAACAACACAAGCAGCCTGAAGGGATAATCCTCCAAAGTGACGAGGCTCAAAGTGAGATGCAAGATTTATTTGGATGGAGTGGAAGTCCAAAGAGGAAGGAGGTGAAGACCGAGACTTACATTCCTGAAGCTGATTTTGTATTCTCAACTAGAGAGTCTGTAAGAGATCAGACATGGCAGTAAAGGAGATAACAACTCGGGCCAAAAGGATCACTATGTTGACAAAGAGATCAAGTGGACATCAAAACGAAGAAAACTAGCCGAGCTGAAGTACTGGGAAGGTAGAGGAGCAAGGATAAAGCGTAATGGCATGGTTGTTTCTTGCTCAGTTACTCCTAACCTTGAGGACAAAGTGATTGTCAAAGGGGGAGAGTAATGATAGAGACCTATATAGTACTAAAAATAAGAATAATGGTGATCTTTTAATATTGTAGAATAAAAGGGTTTTTGGCCCTGAATTTAATAGAACTGGGCTGGCCCATACGGAAAAGAATAAATAGGAGTGAGGGGATTAGAATTGGCGGGCAGAAATTGGGACAGGCTTTGGCTTGGGAGAGGGGACTGCTCGAAGTGTCTCACTGTATCTTTCTTTTTCAATCTATCAATTTCATCTAGTATACTTCCGTTTACCGTCAAATTTCTGGGTACGTATCAGTTTGGGCCCCCGCTCGTGTTACCTCTGTTGATGGCTTTCGTTATTATGTTATTTTTGTCGATCATTGTACCAAATATATATGGTTTTATACCATGACTTATAAGTCTGAAGTCACTTCTCTTTTTCAACAGTTCAAAAAAATTGTTGAGAACTATTTTCAACGCACAATTAAAACAGTTTATTCTGAGGGGGAGGCGAGTACATTACCTTAGGTTAATTCCTACGCACATGTGGCGTTTCTCACTTACTCACTCCTCCCCACACTCTAGACAACAACGACTTTGTTGAACGTCGGCATCGTCACATTGTGGAAACTGGTATCACCTTACTTCACCATGCATCCATGCCTCTTAATTAATTGTCTTATGCTTTCTTTACGGCAGTTTATCTCATTAATAGACAACATGCCCTCTCTTAACTTTTGCACCCCATACGAAAAACTCTTCCAACAACCTCCTCATTACAATAAACTTGCTATTTTTGGGTGTCAGTGCTTCCTTTGGTTACGTCCTTGTACCACTCATAAGTTAGAACCACGCTCCAAACCGTGTGTCTTTCTTGGGTATTGTGACCAACAAAGTGCTTATCGTTGTCTAGATCTTGCCACTAAGCGTGTCTTTGTTAGCAGGCATGTAGTGTTTGATGAGTCAGTCTTCCCCTTTTCTACAACTGCACCACCAGTCTCGAATATCACTACTGACATTGATCTAATGCTTCAACCGTCCTTATCTTATCTTAATAGTGACCACAATATATCTGTGCTTGATGTTCTGCAGCTGTAAGCGACTACAAACAATCCCTTCAGTTTCAAACATTAAATGATGAGAAGCGAAACATTCAACTTGAGGTGTGTTGAACACGCTACCTGTGCTTTCTTCTTTGTCAATATTGCTTGCCATTAATGTTTGCGTAAAATGCACAGGTTGTCCGTGGTGGACGAAGACTTCAAATTTCTATATTTGAGATTGTTGTTGGTGATGTTGTACCTCTAAAGATTGGTGATCAGGTGAATGCCATCTCTCTTCCTCGTCTTCAAAAGTGTTAATCCCGATATAATTGTATTGACCAGTGCTCTCTTGCTTGCTGAATTCCTTTTCAAGGTTCCTGCTGATGGTCTTGTAATCACTGGACATTCCCTTGCACTTGATGAATCAAGCATGACAGGCGAAAGCAAAATTGTGAGTAATTAGCCGACCTGGTCTGATATGTCAATTTATCATCTTTAACTTCCAACTAACTTGGACTTTTTGGTTCCCGCAGGTTCATAAAGATTCAAAATCACCTTTTTTAATGTCTGGGTGTAAAGTGGCAGATGGCTATGGGACCATGCTGGTAATCTATGTTCCTGATGTCTCACAATTTCATTAAAATTACCCTTGTCCTAGACCATAGGTAAACTTGACTGTTTGAGGTACAGAGTGCATTTTGGTGCAACTATATTGTTCATAAGTCTGCAGTTTTGATTTATTTATTTTTATGTATGCATACTTACTCTTTTGGGAATAAGGTTTGGATGTTGTTGTTGTTGTATACTTAGTTGCTTTGTGAACAACTTGTGCCTGTGATATTTTATTCTCTTTAAGAAGAAGCTTGTCTAAGTTAAACACTTTGCTAAATTAGCAAAATTGAACATGTGAACATTGGTCATGCATGAAAGCTGCTAACTTCTTAACGTGGTTCCAGGTCTTGAGTGTTGGGATAAAGACAGAGTGGGGATTACTAATGGCTAGCATTGCAGAGGATAATGTCGAAGAAACACCCCTGCAGGTTGCACTTATTAATATTTACAGGGCCTCTAAATATAGAAAATGCTATCATGTGTAGTAATTTGTTTCCTATGTTCTACATCAGGTCCGATTAAATGGTGTCGCTACATTAATTGGTACGGTTGGCCTTGTAGTTGCTATAGTTGTTCTCGTCGTCCTTGTGATAAGGTATGCATGGATTTGCATCTTGTCAGATGTTTCCTTTATTTTGCCATGAATGTGCTCCTAAAGCTAAGCGAGTTATTATGCAGATTCTTCACTGGGCACACTGAAGACCCCCATTTTGAAGCTGGAAAGACTAAAGTTGGTCATGCTATAGATGGGGTTGTTCAAATTTTCACTATAGCGGTACATGTCCATTACATTTTTAATGTTTCTTGTCTGGTTGCTTTCAAATTTTCACAAATGTGACACACATATGTAGGTTACCATTGTAGTTGTGGCAGTACCAGAAGGTCTTCCTTTAGCTGTCACTCTTACGTATGTTTTCTGACATTCCTATTAAGTTTTAAGTAGTTATCCTTATAGTTGAGCTTCATTTTGGCAGTCATTTGACAGTTCACTTTCCACTATCTACTCGGGCTTCCTGGCACTACTTAGTTAAACTTATTAATGCATAGCTTGTTTCATTTCAAGAAGTTGTCCAATATCCATTACATTATAGTTTTCTTCACATTATCACTGTCTTATATGTGTTGTAGGCTTGCCTATTCGATGAGGAAAATGATGGCAGATAAGGCTTTGGTATGTTTAGCTATTGTCACTATTGTTCGATGCAACACATTCTTGTGTTGGTTATTTTATCAGAATCACTCTATAAGAAACTACTTTCTTATTTAGGCAAAAATAATTGTTGTTTCAGGTTAGGAGACTTTCTGCATGTGAAACTATGGGTTCTGCAACCACTATTTGCAGTGACAAAACTGGAACGTTGACTCTAAACCAGGTAGCCATGCTCTCCAGTTTCAGTTATCTTTCCAATCTTCTGTTTCCATTTTGTAATTCTTCTTTTTATCAATTGTTTTGTACTTCTTTTTTAACTTGTCTACTCTAATTTGGCTCTGCTAGATGACTGTTGTTGATGCATATGCTGGTGGAAAAAGAATCAAAGACCCAAATGATAAATCCCAATTTCCGCAGAAGGTCACATCTCTCCTCCTCGAAGGAATTGCTCAGAATACAACTGGCAGTGTCTTTGTTCCAGAGGTAGGACCATATAGATCTTAGGTCTCTTTAGTTCTCATTTTCATTTACCTTCTCTGTCATGTTTAGCTTATGAGATTCATGCTAGTGATACAAGTGCTTCAATGCATTTGAGGAGACGTGCTGGAACTGCCAGTGTTTATAACTAATAAAGGTTGAAGCTTTTATAGATCTAGAAATGCATTAATTCTAAAGCAACTTAAATATGAAGTAACTTGTCAAGGCCTTGTATATTTTCATCATTCACTTTAATACTGCCTTCTGGCTTGTTTTTTAATCTGGGTACTTACAGTTCATTTACTTATGCTTTCTTATGTTCGAATTCCTGCCTTCTGGCTTGTTTTTTAAGACTTAATCGTCTTATTTTCAGAGAGTTTTCAAATAAAATATCTCTTCTCTTTGGTCTCACCTTTTTTATAGATACCATCTCTGTTTAGTTTCTCATTTCAATTCCGCCACCTGCCATTTTGATCTGGTTTATCTCATTTTACGCGATATTATTTTTTTCCATTTTAGCCTCAGTTTTTACTTATCATTAAGGTCAACTACTAGAGAATTTGACACACAGTAAGAGCAATTCTCCTACCAGCTCTTAATTCCTAATTTGGTCTGGAAGAAGCTTTTCCAATCAGGAGGGAAATTGGCATTGAGATCATGGTGTGTCACATGTGTCATGTGGTCATCAATTTTTTCAAGGACGTCAATAGTTTATTTTCATTGTGGGCCTGTGGCATATAGATAATATATTCTTTGCCTGGTTGTGCTGCTTCAAATCTATTAGAATATTTTTCTGGATGCATGTTTTTTTTTGAAGTGTTGGAATAAATGCTGTTTCAGCTGTAATGTTCCTTTAACATCATCTCCTGCCATGACAACATCGTCATTATAGAAAACAAGATAGGCTGCTGAAAAATGATAAGTGACATTCAGATAGGCTGCTGAAAAATGATAAGTGACATTCAGATAGTCTGCGGAAAGTATTTGAATACATTCTAAGAAAAATAATGGGGCGCTAAACATAGTTAACATGCCGTATGGCAATCGCCATGGCTCAAAGGCATTTTTCATGGCGCATATGGCGCTATGGCGCATATGGCGCATAAGGCGCATATGGCGCTATGGCGATGATCATTTTTTCATGGCGATGGCGCATATGGCGTGCACCATATCTTGCCATTGACTACTATGGCGCTAAAATCTAATTGCATAAAAGAATTAAAAGCCTTCTTGTTGTAGCATTCATTTCTGTTAGTATTTTGACTATTTGATTTGTTCTATTATCGTTAGAAAATGAGTTAACATACAGATATATCAGTAGCCCTGTTGCCCTGTCATAGAAAACATGCCAACTGTTCAAATTACTATATGTACTTTCTTTTTGTGGAAGAGTTGCTATAGTCAGTGATTATGTCGAGTATTGTTGAAATATAAACTACAATGCTATTAAAGATGGAGAGAAGGATTTTCTGTGTATTTCATTGGAGGGTTAAGTCCCTATATATACATTAAAAAGATAGATTATTCCTATAAGATTCTACACAATAATAATATCCTAGAGTATATTCCTAAAATATTCTAAAGCATATTCTAAAGATAGAAGAATATTCTAAAGCATATTATAAAGTATATTCTAATGTCTTTCACAAGTATCATCATCCATATCATTTCATTGATATGCTCTAAACTGCTGCTAGCCTGCTATGTTTTATGGTGTGCATTTTGACAGGGTGGTGGAGCACCTGAAATTTCTGGATCACCAACAGAGAAGGCCATTCTTCAGTTTGGAGTCAAAGTAAACATCATGTCATTATTACATTAGTTGAAGGCCGTGTACCCTTTGGGATTTTTATCCCAACATTTTCTATCACTGATTGGTGAAACTTCTTATACTTTGGATCGGTTTAGTTTTCTAATGTTTTTCTTTCTGATAGATTGGGATGAATTTTGATGCCATTAGATCTGAGTCAGCAATAATACATGCCTTTCCATTCAATTCAGAGAAGAAACGAGGTGGTGTTGCCGTGAGACTGGTAATCTGTGCATTTTTTCATGTTCAATTGCATTTGTTTTGCTTCTGCTGAAATTATCTTGTTGTCTCTGATTTCATAAGATTCATTATCTCAATAAGCTCTTGGAGCATTGAGAGTGAAGGGAAATTGAAAAGGGGCTGTAGAGAAACCCCCATCTATCTCTATCTGATAGGCATTGCACCACCCGTTTCTTTTAGATGTATTCACCACATCATCTGTCTATGTACTTGCATGTGTATGTGCATTTTACCGTCGAAGATGAGCTATGAGCTTCTTTCATGCTAACATTTTAATGTACATACATAGTATGCTAGGCATGGAATCATTGGGTTTTCTGATTTTTAATCATATTAAATCTCATCCAATGGGTAGTATAAATATGTTTTGGGACAGATTGTTTGATGGAGTAGAGTAGATTATTCAGGACTATGTTTTGGATTGAAAGTCTAGGGTAAGTTGGTTTTTGGGCAACATAGAATGAAACAAGAGATTGTTTTTGTAGCTTTTTAATGCTGAAATTGATCTTGGAGTGCAAATCGAATCATGGGTCATTTATTTTTACTTTCTGGAGTTGTCTGGCTTTCAGTGTCATGCAGATTGCTTTTTCAGTCTGAACTTTCAGATGCCCGATTTCTGCATTTTTCTTATTACCTTGTAGCATTTTATGTTATTTGTTGTTGCAGAATGACTCTGAAGTTCATATACATTGGAAAGGTGCTGCTGAGATTGTTCTATCTTGCTGTAATAGCTACATTGATGAGAATGATAATGTGGTGCCTCTGGATGAAAATGAGGTTAGCTAACAATGGTCCTTCCATTTGCTGATCATATGGTGTTTTGGATGTCTATCACCCATTTTTTACTTTAAACAGTAAAAAATGCAACTGTCATTTGATTTGCATATACAGAGATACACCTCGTTTGTCTTTCTCTTCACAATATACTTCATTGGCTGTATTATGCTTTGTATCCCCGATCAATAACTCTAAATGACATTCGCTGGGCTTAGTTAAAAAGAACTAAGAAGCAGGCGTTTCCTAAAAAATGGGGTGTTTCTGATAGTTTGGGTCTTCTAAAACTTGCTTGGCTGCCTTAGATTAGAAATATTAGATTAGAACTTCGAAAATCCAATAAAGCCCTAAAATCCTCGCTCTCCATCAACTGCTATTGAAACTCTGAAAGAGGTGAGTAGGGACTAATCGCTGAAGTAAGGTTTTGATATGCAAAACCGAGTCCCGAGGCAGTCACCTTATGAGGCGACCTGAAATTTAAATTTAAAAAAGACGGGAAACTACTGGTGGACGGAAAATATTTAAAGCGGTTGTTTAATTAACACTAGTTATTGGTTTGAATCAGTGATGGCCTGATTTGAGATTGGAAGACTTCTTAATCACTGACTTGAGTCAGAAAGCAACACTATATATAACTGCAAAGGAACTGCAATGCAATAGTTCACTGAGATTGTAAGACTATTTGATACTGACATAAACGATCAATCAATTAGTCACCCAGACAAGTTACCCCGGGTCAAGGGTCAATCACGCCCCGGAGGGTCAGCCAAGTCAATGACGTCAACCCGGTCAATAATAATGTCCTAAAATATACATTTGGAATTAGATGGACAATAAATAATGACCATAGCGCGTGCCTATTACAAAATCTTCAAATAATTGAATGTATTTTTTCGCTTATATTTGGAATATTTTATATATAATCGGGCATTATAGTAATAGCAAATGTAGTGGTATTTATTATTATTATTAATTAATCAATAAATATTTTATTAATGACTAGTAGTACATGTTTTAAACTAGATACTCTACAACAACATCCAAGCCTTATTCCCAAAAGATTTTGGAGTCGGCTAACATGAATGGATCCAAGATATCAGAGCCATAGTAGTCACGGTGACCGGCGACCGGCATGGCGCGGGGGTAAATTCTGATAGGAACTCTAATTTTGTAACAGTAAATTGATCGTAAAATTGCAGAAAGGAAGAAGAAGATACAGACGAGGTGCTTCGAGAGGCCTCAACTCTTCCAATTTCCCAAATCCAAAATCTGCCTAACCTCTTATTCTACTCCTCCTATTTATAATAAAATTCCCTTATGGGCCTGCCCAAGCTAACTAGTACCTATCCCAAAACCCTTATTTATACAATATCACACTCCTTAGTATAATTCTACTATTAGTATTATTGGAGGTTCATGTCCCTATCATATCTCCCCCCTTGAACAATCACCATGTCCTCAAGGTGGGTGATAGGAAACAGCCTTGATCTTCAAATTCATCTTCATCCTGAAGCCTCTTCCTTCCCAGTACTTCCCGGATTTCTGAACCATAAGTTTCTGTTCTTCCTCCTTCCACATCATTAATGTTTCTGCAGCCGAAGATAAGTCTAGTGCAGTTTTAGTCTCTTCAGTGGCTATCAAGCACTCTATAACGGAAAATGTTTCTTTGTTCTGTGCTTCTCTATCTGCAGCAGTTATCTGTTTTGTTATTGCTGCAGCTATTCCTTCCAGCAGATTCCACATGAGTTATTTGTCATTATAGATGATAATTTCTCTCAATAGTCTCCTCACATCAGGACTTGGTTCTGCCAAAAGCCTTCCAATCACACATGGATATGCACTCTCCACCACTTTGAATTCAGGGTCCCCTTCTTTTGTAGTTCCTTCTAGTAATCCTAAAGCTCGTATCACCACTGCAGAGTCATGAGGAAGAGAGAAGTTGAACTTGTACATAACATCATATAACTGATTTATAGCCTGGACATCCTTGGATTGTCTACTTCCATCACCCAAGGATTGTACGACAGTTCTTTCAGGAATGAAACCGAGAGAGAGAGAGAGGAGTTCATTCGCCGAACTCCTTGAAATTGTAGCCTCAGAATCTCCAGCTGCCACCCTTTTTATTAGAAATGGAGCAAGGTAGAAGAAGAGAGTGAAATCATCTTATTGAAAAATAGAAAGTGTACAGAGTATTTATAGAAGCTATATTTGTAACTAACTGCAGCTAATATAACAGAAGCCCAACTAATACTAATTACAAAGCAATGTACATGTAGCTTCTATATACTATTCCTAACATTCCCCCTCAAATTGAGGGTGATTGAACTGGAAAATCAATCACACTCAGTTTGTCTTTGAACTCAAGAAAGGTGGAAGCAGATAGAGGCTTAGTCAACACATATGCAATTTGTTGGGAGGCTGGAATCTGAAAGACTTCAAGCTGTTTGAGATGAACTTTCTCTCTGACAAAGAAAAGATCAATTTCCATATGTTTTATGCGAGAATGTAGGACATGATTGTGAGCTAGCTGTACAGTGCTGAGATTGTCACAGTAAATTCTTGGAGTGATAAAAGGGGTTTGAAGTTCTTTGAGTAAAAATTGAACCCATAAAAGTTCTAATGTAGTGTCTGCTAGGCTTCTGTATTCAGCTTCAGCTGAAGATCTTGCTACCCTCAGTTGTTTCCTAGACCACCAGGAGATAATATTAGAGCCTAGGAAAATGCATGACCCAGATGTAGATCTGATGCCTAGTCAGCATCACAGAAAGTTGAGATTAGTAGAGGTATTTTTGTCAAGGGAAGAGGTTTGATGATCAGTCCATGAGTAATAGTTCCAGATAGATATCTCAGTATATGTTTCACAGCTTTCCAGTGGTCTTGTAAAGGATTACTCATGAACTGACACACCTTATTTACAGCATATCTAAGTTCAGGTCTGGTTAGAGTAGCATACTGCAGAATTCCAACAATAGATCTGTAATGAGAGGGATCAGGAAGAGGGTCACTTCCTTCATTGGTGAGCTTACAGGTACTCACCATAGGTGTTTTCACACCCTTAGAATCTGTCATTCCAACTTTGTGAAGAAGATCTTTGATGTATTTGGCTTGTGAGAGGTGCAGACAACCATTAGGAAGCTTTTTAACTTGGATTCCTAAAAAGAAATCAATATCTCCCAGGTGTTTGAGAGAAAAGGAACAGTGAAGGGTTTGAATGATTTGTTGGATAACTGTGGAATTATTGCCAATGACAAGAATGTCATCAACATAGATGAGGATGTAAATTTGGATCCCAGGTTTGAGGTATATAAGAAGAGAAGGATCACTCTTGCTCTGTTTGGAACCAACATTGTATAAGACTGGAGTGAGCTTGTGAAACCAAGCCCTTGGAGCTTGTTTGAGGCCATATAAAGATTTATGTAGTCTGCAGACAAGGGAGGTATCTTTGGCCTGAAAACCAGGAGGTATATCCAACAAGGTCCCCATTGAGAAAGGTTATTTACATCAGGTTGCTGTATAGACCATTGGTGAGAGACATCAAGTGTAAGCAAAATTCTGATTGTGACAGGTTTGTCTACTTGGAAAATGTTTCTCCAAAGTCAAATCCAAACCTCCGATGAAACCCTTTTGCCACCAGCCTGGCTTTGAACTTATTCACAGAACCACCAGGATTTTCCTTTACTCTGAATACCCACTTGCAGCCAATGACCTGTTTGCTTGGAGGAAGAGTGACTAGAGACCAAGTTTTGTTAGATATCAAGGCATTATATTCAAATTGCATGGCTGCAAGCCAAGGTGGAGAAGAAAGAGGTTGCGTAACTGATTTGGGCTCTATATGGGCCAACAGTAAAGTTGGATTAAGTCTAGGCTTGACAATCCCAGATTTTGACCTGGTTTGCATGGGATGAGAGTTATGGGGAGGATTTGGAGATGTAGAAGAGGAGGAATCAGAGGATGATGGAGAGTGAGAATGGTCAGATGTGTTATTTTGGTGGTTAGAAGAAGTTGAGTTATTAGAAGATTGATGATGATTATGTGAGGCAGTATTATCCTGAGGTGTAGTGGATGAAGAAGGAAGAATTTTTATTGGAGCTGAGCGGGAAACTGGAACACTATTGGATGAAGTGGATGTAGAGGGAAAAAGAGTGGGATAAGGAAATCTGGTTTCATTAAAAATGACATCCCTGGAAATATAAATTCTGCCACAGGGAGAAAGACATTTGTAGCCTTTATGATGAGATGAGTATCCCAGAAAAACACATTCCTTAGAGTGATAATCCATTTTATGTTTGTTGTAAGGTCTAATGAATGGATAGCAAGAGCAACCAAAGACTTTGAGAAAAATGTAATCAGGAGGGGTGCCATAAAGCTTGAAGTGAGGGTTGAGATTGGCAATAGATTTAGATGGAAGTTTGTTGATAGAGAGGAATTTGAATGGTGGAGAGGAATGAGCTAAAAGACATGGACTTTTTTCAAATGGTGCGATGTTTCCTCTCTACTACACCATTTTGATGATGTGTATGAGGACATATAACTCTATGATTGATACCCTTATCAGTCAGAAAATTAGTGAATGACCTGAATTCTCCTCCCCAATCAGATTGTATGGATTTGATAGAAATGTGGAATTGATTTAAGATATATTGATAGAAGTTTTGAAAAGCTAAGAAGGCATCAAATTTCTTTTTGAGAAAATATATCCAAGTATACTTAGTGAAGGCATCAATAAAGGATATATAGTAACAATAACCATCAAAGGATTGAATAGGAGCTTGTCCCCACAAGTCAATGTAAATCAATTCAAAAGGAGAATGAAATACATTTGTAGAAGGATGAGATGGTAATCTGTGAGCTTTACCAAGGCAACAAGCAGAACAAAAATCCATAGCATTTTTATTTAGATGAGACAGATTACAAAGATTGAGTACAGACTTAAGAGCCTCAAAATGAGGATGGCCTAGTCTTAAATGCATATTATAATTGGTGTTTGACCGAGAGTTATTACA